CTAGGGCACCTTTTGAAAGACTGTTACATGTTTAAAATGTACATATATAAATATATTTACCTGTTGCTGTACAGTTGTGATAGACTGGACTGAATTTATTTTTTGTGTGCTTTTTTATAAAATATTAATACACTAAAGGAAATCTTGCTGATGTGATTGTAATGTACTATGTAACTTATTTACTTAATATCCTCTATATATCTAAAAAACCTTTTATTAAATGAGGTTTAAAAATAGTTTCATAGCTGAGTTTTTTGATGGTATGAGGGAGTGGCCAGAGGTTTGTGCTGGCTGTGATGCACAGGAGGCTGTCACGAGTCCTTCTGGCTGTTCTGCTCTCTCTTCATACTCACCTGTGTTTTCCACAGCCACYCCCGAGGCTGTTTGTCACCTCTATCCTGAGACAGGAGCCTGCAATGTGTTTTAAGTCTTATATCCAAGAAAATACCTGGCAACTGTGGCTGTAGAGACCAGAGAAAGTGCAGCTCCACTGCTTTACAGATGCGTTGATGGTGTGTCTCACTCCAAGCCAAGCACCCTCCCAGAGAGCTGGAAACAACCTTGACAGTGTTAGGAATTCCTGGGGAATAGTTCTAGCTATGCTGTGCTGTAAACAAAACTGGTGGGATTCTGACACTGCCTGAAACAACTACAAAGACAGGGGGCAGAGCAAAGGCATCATATAACTCAGTATCTGAGGGACCTGCTTCAGTTGTAGATCATAGTGTGTCACACTTTCCAACATGACAGAGTTTGAAAAAAGTTTCAGTAAATACTATCTTAAAGGCACTTACCTGTTACTTGAATCTAAGGAGGTTTTTTTAACAGATTTTGTTACATAGCACATATTTTGTTTCTGCTGGCAGTAGCTGGATCTCTTGCTGTGGATTTTAAATATGCTTCCATCCATCCTCAAAATATCTTCCTTCTGTTTTGGAATGTAACCTTTTAGCTAACTAGGCTACACAGATGTTCTCACACCTGGTGGCATGATGTCTTTAAAACCTACAAATGCTACATAAATTAGATGGCAGAAACAGGTATCAGTGCCTGACTGCTCTCCTGTGAGATTGCATTTAGKATCTAAGGCAGCACACCTACTAATTTATGCTGACATTTTAATTTCAATATTCTTGGCAAAGCTGGCAGGGAAGGAGAAAGACTCAGCCCAAGACAAGAAAACACAAATTTTCTTCACCTCAGTATAGAAGTCCTTGTTTTAGTTTAGTCCTTTACCTGTGGCTGTTGATCAGCAATAGCATTTGGAGAAGTGGTATTTTGCTTGGTGTGCAGAAGAGACAGGGAGCACCGAAGTCTTCACTTAAGATAAYAGGCCAGAATTTTAAGGCTTTAAATAAGGCATTTGCTCCCCTGTCAAAGCCAGCTGGCAAAAGTGATGAAGTTTAGTACTTTGTGCTAAAACTGTGAGGCTGTGCAAACAAACCAGGGACAATCAAAAAAACCATACATTTTGAGCATTTTAGGTTCTATCTTTTTTAAACTGCTGGATCTAAGCCCAAGCTTCTGGAAGTTATTTCAGCTACTGAAAGAAATCTTGCAAAGCATTTCAGTGATAAGTAAGCTTTGAGTTAGTGGTACTGTAAGGAGTTCTGCAGTAATTTCCTATGTATTTTCTAAATAGCATTAGACCATCCTTGTARGATGCTCCTCTTGTTATTACTGAAACCTGCTGTGGGCTGTGGGGTAGAAAGGGTTTTCTTTACATCAGAGTTTTGAAATTACGTTTCAGTGACACAGCCTACTGAAGGCAAACATTTATATTAGAGAAGCTTATGAATCAATTAGCCTTCCTCTGTCTGAATTCAATGGAACTTACGGTATATTACTGTTAACAGAATTTAAATTCAAAGTGAATTAGTAATTTTGTACCTGAAGAAAGACTAGCCATTTATCTAACTTATTTGGATTATTTTCCCCATGTAGAAATAGTAGATTTTTCTCTTAGGACCTAAGAACAAATTGTGACAACCAATGTCTTAAAAGATTGAAAAATATTTATGTATCGAATGACAACAATCACAATATACCAGCATTTTTATAGCCTTAAGTTATTCTCTATTCTAAAATGTAGTGGCAATAAGGAACCAGCATTTGCATGCTATCATACTATAAATACATTGCTCCCTGAGCAGCTAGGAAAGTTTAATGAGAACAAAATTTAGCTTCCAAACACTCTTCACAAGCTGAACTATTTCATTACACATCAGCTAAAGACATTTGTATAAAAAAAGGTTATATTATTTTTGAACAAGTTTCACAGAATAACATTTATAAACATAGGCCTAAATAATTTAAACACAGCAAATTCAACAGCTTTTCATGCTACAAAATTAATGTATACAAAACATAGCCAAAGGGGATGTTAAAAGTGCTCTCTTGCTTGAAGGTTTTTCTAGATGAGCCTACTTCTAGTGTAACCTGAGTCAATGCTGGCTCTCAGGTCTCTTCTGTCATTTTTCCATCAGTTCTCAATAATCACTGCATACACATCAGCTCTTTGAAGAAAGSTGAGCATGCCAACAAGCAAGCAAAAAGTCTAGCTATATCCTACCAGTACTTCAATTTTAGGATATTTCTCTAAGGAATAAAGTGGATGCTCATCCTCCGTAATTTCACTGGGAAAAGCAGAATTCCACATGGCTTGCACATTTTACATGGGTGCTCTTTTCATCCATGAATAATAGTGTGCTTACTTCGTCACTGGATTGGTGTGTGATTGGTGGTGTGATAGGGAAAAGCAAAGTGTACAAGTGAAAGCCAGACCTTGCAGCACCTCACTCCAATGTCCCTGTGGGTGCAGAGGCCAATTGTCACTGTCACCTTATACACAACATCATGTAGCACCATCAGTATGTAAACCAGCTGTTTTAATTCTACCACCTCTCTATGTCTTCCACCACATCCAGTGCATAATTTTAAAGTGCAAATTTAAAAATTTAGGGAAACTTTACTTTGGACAAGAAAAATTTTGACAGGGGTTGTTTTTTTTCTTGAGAGTAATCACGACTCATTAGGCAAAGTAAGGTTAAGTGAAGCTTCCAGCTTTCAGATGAAGTATCTGCTGACAAACAAGGTGCCATACTTTATTCTTTTGTTACTGTATGTTTCAATGAGACTGACACATAGTTTTTATCAGAAGAGTTTTAAATTATATGCTAARACTGGATGGTCCCTTCCAATAATAATTTTGTTACTTTTTTGGTGGTATTTATAATGCAGCCCCCAAAGAAAAGAGCTAGAGCATTTGTGCTGTTTAATATGTGGAAAGCACCAATGCCAATAGGCCAYACAATACACCCAGCTCTACCACCATCTACAATAGCTCTTAACTTACTCCCATAGGTGTAATCTCTATTGATCACTGACAAGAGCCAGGAACTGCTGCTATCCCTCACAACTTGTCAATGGAGCTGTGTTTTGTTCCAATCACCACAACGTAGTCAGAACACTGTTTCTCTTCTGCTCTCAGAATGCCCCAAAATAACCAAAGAATATTTGCAGTACCTAACACAGCCTTCAGAAATGTACAGACTTATATTTAGGCATTAAAAAATCARCCAGCAGGATTACTTGGCATTGGATGGGCTTCTCACTCCCTTTTTCTCCTGTCACAATCATGTGTGGAGCTAACCCAGCCATACACACACACCACTCTTGCAGATGTTGTGCTGGGAGAGACTAGGTACAGAGCTTCAACCACTTTGTGTTGTGGCCAAGACTAGGAGAAGAGCACCACATGGTCTATTCTGAAAATACCTCCAAATACAGACATGAATTTGGCATTTCTGCTTGTTGGGAACATTCATAAGGCAAGTTTTGAGTCAGTCAAGCTCCAGCTCACATTACCCACACTTTAACTACAGTTGTCAAGGGCACAGCCAAACCCAGGAGGGGCCAGGAGGGCCTAAGTGTGCTACAGGCTCTGTAGTGCTCAAGCACACTCACTTTGCCAGGAGTGGCTGGCTGCAAGTGAACAGAGTGGCTGCTGGGCTTCAAARGACACCCATATGAAATGGCTGCTGACTGTGGACACTCTCCTCCATGGTGCTTCTTGGTCAATGCTGCCTTTACTGATGATAAAACTAGAATGTTTCTAAAAGAAGTAACAAACGAAGTTGTCTAAAACCAGTGAGCTAATTAACTAAGAAACCAGTTTCTGGTAGAGGGAACAGCTGCCTGGAAATAGTTTGCACTGGGTGAAGAATGTCCACAGYTTTTGCCATTGTGCTCTTGGTCTTATTTTTAGTAATGGATCTAATGGATCTAAATCAAACTCAAACCTCTTCAGCAACTGCCAATTTAAATTGGAATRCTTTAGAATTCCTCTAATAATCACAGATTAGGTAGCAATATATTGAAACTAAACTGTGATTGTTTTGTAAACTACTTCACAGTGTTCACTTAGAAACTGATTTGAGAGAATCTTCTACTACAACTATACCTGGAGTCTGAGATCAGTACCACTGTGCTCAAGTTGCCTGGGCCGATTCTACCATTTAATTTCTGAGCTTTATTTCCAAGATTTCAACTTCTTCCACACCTTCACAAACAAAATAATTAAGAGTGGCATTCTGCCCCATCCCTTCTATACCTGGGCTGGAACCAGCAGATACACTTCTTGCCACTTTAAYTTAAACAAAGATGGTACCACAAATTAGATGAAAACTTGTTAAAAAAACAGAAAGGAACTGCAGAAAAATCTACTCAAGTGACTCAATCTATTCTTCAAAGAGAAGAAGAAAAACCATACTATTGGCATCCCACTGTGCAATCAGGTATGTCCTCATCATTGTTTAATGCTTTTCACTAGAAATAGCCACATAAGGGGATTTTATAAGCACTGCAATATAGCACATTCAGTACCTCTTCAATACTTTTTTTCCCAATGCCCACTTTCTGTCTCATCTC